GGGCGGCACCTTGGTCGACGGCAGAGACATGGCGGTTGAGGAGAAACGATTGACTGTAGGGAGAGGAAGATGTTGTGGGTAAAAGGAGAACAAAAGGAGGATGGATGATGCTGGCGAGGGACGGAGACGGAGCTTGTAACTTACAGGTAAACTTTGGGTGATGGTCGAATCAGACAGGGTCGAGAGGTAAGAGGGGCAGGGGCAGGGGGGCTAGATTAGGCTTAGCGCGACGGTTAATGATGGTCCATGGGTAGGGTTCGGGCTCATGTGAGTGCGTCGTGATGTTATGTTGATGGGTGAATGCCAGTTTGTCCTCGGCTTGTTATGCCATGTGCTGTTTGGTTCAATGATGGTTGCGTAACCGCGGTTTGTGCGATATCAACCTCCATGTCTTCGTTGAGATTGATAGCGCCACATCTCAAGCATCTCGGTACCTAGGTACTTGATGCAGGAGGCGTGTTTCATTGGCCTTGGGGTCTTGCAGCTGCAGTTTAAGGGGTCTAGTAAAGCACATAGTAGGCTAGTAGTATATAAGTACGGAGTAAAGTATGTAAGTTAATTAAGTGGCGGCATCGAAGGACGCGGCGAGAGGCGGGGTGTAATAAAATGAATAAGACTTCTGCCGTCACAGATGGCTCAGTACCAGGTGTCGGCGACGTTGGGCGCAATTGTTCAATGCTCGGCACAAATTGCATAATCAATTGGAGAGCGATACTGGATCACGCAGTCGCAGTTGGTGTAATTGTGAATGGACATTTGACCTGATTACCACCCCCGAGTTGACATCTGGAAGCAGCCAGACTTGGGACCAATGAACGGGACCAGCCCCCGTCGCCATTTCCAAAAACTCGCAAGTTTTACGTTGGAATCCAACATCCGACAAACTCCCCGCCATCAGTTCGACAGGCTCTGGCCTGGTTTAGGAACTATTTGCATCACTTCGCTTGTGATTCGCGCACTGTCCTGGCAATTGACATACAGCTCCCGCCACATAGCAGATATTTTTGCTGGCTTTTTGCTCCCAGTCGGTCCACGGTTTGGATTGATTGTCGGCCCACGCCGACGACACAGGGGTTACATCATCTTGCGCCAGCTACTCCGTACACGAGGCGTAAAGCACGAGCACGAGCACGAGCACAGGGGCAATTGCCGCTGGAGGCGAGCCGACTCAATCTGCTGGATGCACTATTCTACATCAAGAGTCCCTTCGCGGAGCATTCTGGAGCCCTTTGGCGAGGTGAGGTGCTGCACAGCTTGAGCTCAACCAACGCCCGCATCACAGCCCTCTGAGGCTGGATTGAGCAGAGCCAGTCTCAGCCAGCAGAGCATACCAAGAACAAAAAGACTGGAGGGAAAGAAGCCCTTGCTGAAGCATTGGACGTACTATTACGTTGTGTGTAAGTACAATCTCACGTCTGCTACAGTAGCATATTCCCTTCGGCCAGACACTGCAAAAGTCGTGGGCCGCTCCTCATCTCAACGGCTGCATGTGCTTGATTGGCCATTGCCCGTCATCAGCATCAGCATCAGCATCAGCATCGCATCGATGCAGAAAATCATCACTAACAACAGCTTGCATTCTCCAGAATCACCACTCGGCCGACAGCCTGAGCCCCCGACCATTCATGACCATTCATCGGGGGTTATTTTTAATCACAGCCTGATCCCCCCGGCCAAGGCAAGGTTATCCACCACATGCTGCATCTCTGCCATCAGCATTGAGCGGCACCCGCATTTTCATTGGTGGCTGCCACACCCTTTTCCCGGCCCAGCTGTCTAAACTCGACCCGTCGTTCGAGTTTAACCACTGTCTTTTTTTTTTCGTGGCACCTATTATTCCCTATCCGACCCCAGTGCCCAGTCATTCAGTGCCTGGTGCCCAGCAGCCAAGCAGCCCAACGAGCGAGGGAGCGATTCAGCGATTGTCAGATTCCCCCCGATCGAGACCTTAATTCCACCCCGTCACTGTCACTCGGGACTAGTCGGCCATCATCACACGACTCCGTTACTCCGTTACACGGGGGTGCCAGGGCCGCCCGAAAAATCTCAGCCTCTTCCCTTAAACCCCAAGGCGCTGACCGGCACCTGATTTGCTTTATTTTGTCGCGACCCATTTCGGCCGGATAGAGGCCAGCGAGGCAGTCGCCATCATGAACGAGACCTCTGGGCGGGCCGGCATCATTCGCGCTCGTGATGATGCTTCCAGTGTGGACAAGCTGGTAAGTCGCCCTTTTGCCTGTAGTACTTTCCCGGGCTCTCCCTACTCTTCCTTTTTCGCTTGTATCGGACGGCACCAAGATCATCGCCATCGGCATCACCGTCATCATGACCAAACACACACACCCCTAGCCACCCGTCCACACCATGCCCATTGTTACCGAGGAGTGCCTGTTGCTCCCTCGCTGCTAGAAAGGGCCATTGCTATCGAATGCCCAGATGCTGGCTATGGGCAGTGCCATATTTTCAGCTTCATGACCGCGTACACTGGCGGCAACCTTGCGCTGACATTTGATTCTGCTGTGCTCCCCTCATTAGGTTCATTCGGTGCTTGACGATGTGCTCTACAATGTCATTTCCGATTTAGTCATGAAGACGCATCGCGAAGAAAAGACTGCAAAAGCAACAACAGCAGCAATTCAAGTCGAAAAGGCAGCTTCCGACGCTTCAGATAGCTCTTCACCCGATTCAAGACCCGACATTCGAGTCGAAACTGATTCTGCCGTCTACGAGGAAGGCAGAGTTCTACTCAAGGGCAACCCGCTCCAGACCATACAGGATATCCTTTGCTCCAAGTGTCATTTGCCCCGGTTATTACACCCGACGGATGGCAAAGGCGCGCAAAAGCCCGACCCGGCCGTCATCTACTGCAAGAAACACCCATACATTGACAAACCCGGATGCGACATCTACGGTCAGAGTTGGGTAGCGCCCGGCCCAGGACGAGGCAAGAAGAAGAAGGACGTAGAGAAGAAAGAAGATGGCACTCCAGAGCAGCGACCGCCGAATGTGCTTTCATTTCCGTCCGCCACGTGCAGTAAATGCAAGCGCTGTATTCTCGTCACCCGGCTGAATAACCACATGGGCTCGTGTATTGGCAACAGCGGCCGAAACGCCAGCCGAGCTGCAGCCCAGAAGCTCAATGGCAATTCCCAAAACGATTCCACTCCTCCATCATCACAAAAGGCGACACCAGCCCCTGGCTCTCGCGCTGCTAGTCCCAGGAAACGAGACGCCAGCGAGGAGAATGAAGACTCTGACGCGAGCCATCAAAAGAAGAAGTTGAAGGCCACCCCTAACCTGACCAAAAAGGTCATTATCAAGACGAAGCCAACACTTAAAAAGGAGAAGTCTAAGGGATCGTCCCAATTGAGTCAGGAGCACAAATTGGAGAACTCGTCCCCGGCTTCCACCAACGGCAAGGGGACGCCAAAACCAGCCAAAAATGGGAGTCCAGTCAAGAAGATCAAAGCCTCCAAACCGATTCAAACATCGCCATTGCCGAAGAGAGATATTGATGGGATGTCTGAAATATCAGATACAATGTCATCACCGCCAGGAAAGTAGATGGTGGTGAAGCGGCTTGGCTACACCACTCACGCCAAGTCGGTCCTGCACAACACACCTTGCTGTAAACTTGCAAACGATAATGTCCTTGACAACACACATGCCACATACCCGGCGGACGGATAGCTTGGCCATTCATGGCCACCACGCTTGGATACAAAACAATCACATGGATATAGAAAAACCATCTCTTCGTCGTTCTTGATGCCCGAGGAGGCAGTGGAGAATTACTTTTGTATTATTTTCAGAACCCTACTGCATCAGGCGAGCGGCCGGAACTTTGGCTACGGGCCTGGGGGATATTCTTAGCATTCACGGACAGCAATTGGTCCATGGCGTTGGGTGTCTTTTACTGTTTTGCGTCTGGCAGATTTGAGTTGCTTAAATATAAAATGGGTTTGGGATGAATAGAGCTCACACTTCTATTCTCTAATTATGCGAAATATTGTCATATCTAATCAAACCGTGAAACCCTTGTGCGACTCCAAACTCCATTGTTCCCCGAATACCACAGTCAATGTATCACTTTCCAATTACTTCTTCATCACCCAATTTAGAAATGGCCCAACTCCTCATACTCTTCATCCAGTAACCTCTCCACAACGATTTGAACCTCGTCCACCGGCCGGTCCTGTGCCCCGGCCCTCACCGTTCGCACTCACGACACACATGCCCCTCTTGGCCTTGCCAAAGATGGCGTGCTTCCCATCCAACCACGGCGTGGGGTGCGAGCGTAATGAAGAACCGAGAACACTATGCTCAGCAGACACAGCGCCGGGTGGATCGAGCTTCGAAATTGTCGCCGTAGATGGAGGAGCCGCCCTGAACCACGACCTTGGGAATGCTTGTAGCAGCAAGTGGTGATGAGGGTGGTGGATTTCCTACAGGTTTTGGGGCGTGAAGTTGTGTACAGCTAGAGTACAGGGGATGACGAGGTTGTCGATTTGGACATGCAGCTGCAGAGTGAGCCCGCCGAGCAATTCACGCCCCGGCGGCGGCAGGGGTGCTCTTGGTTCATGTCAACTGGTTGGTTTGGGTACGGAGTAGTGGCTTAAGGCCCTGTGGCTTTCACCACATGCAGCACTGAGGACACTGATTGTGCTGGCAGTGAAGATGGATTGAACTGCCAGGTGGCGCGTGGGCCTGAACATTGAATGCATCAATGTCAGCAAGAGCAAAGCTCCAGGGTCTGGTCAAACTTGGACCGAACACATCACCACATGCACAGCCCCCGTCTCTGGCTTGCCTTTGAGATCAGAGCGCAGCCGCACCCGCTGTCTTTTACGATATCAATTCTTCAAATCCCATAGGTGTTCTATCATTCTGCGTTCGGAGCAGCAGACAATGGACTAGCCAACCAGCGGCATCGAGACGACCATTTTACGCACCTCACATTGCTCGGTGCTTCAAAGCTGACAGCAAACATCACCATCACCATGGCATCAAACACAACAACAGCCTTAGCAGGCCCCCTCGACACCCTCAACACTACTGCCAACGTCACAACAGCGTCAACATCACCACTCGCATTCCTCCAAGACCTCGACTTTGTGGTCCTCGAACTCAAACTCGTCGTATCCGCCTTAGGAATCATCTATCTAGGTTCTCATGCCGCCATCCGCCGTCCCCCATCCGCCACACCCCCTAAAAAGAAGCATCCCGGTCAAAAGTCAGACGATGATGACCGCTTCTCACAAGGGCTTGAACCCTCTGACGCAATCATGTTTCCTGTCATGGCGGGCATTGTGCTTGTCGGGCTGTACTATCTCATTCAATGGCTTAAGGACCCAGCCATCTTAAACAAGATACTGAGGTACTACATGACCGCGGCGTCAATGGCTAGTATTCTGACCCTTTATGCACACGGCATGGACCTAGTCACTTCCTTCGTATTTCCGAGTTATTGGCGCGGAAGGAACGGGTCCCTCCGTCGAGTTGACCAGCGCCGCAAAACGGTCCACGTATGCGATGACTTTGGAAATGCCGGCGCTGTGACGGAAAAGAATCCATTGCCTGGCATTTTCTGTGTGTTTTCTGTTACGGAGAGAGCACAGAAAGCGGTCTGGGAGCTCAGAGGTCTGCTCACCAGGCACTGGACGATAAAGCTGTTTATTCATGGGGTGGGAGAGGAGGCGGCCAAGCTTCGATTTTCGCACATGATGGCCCTGTTTTTGTCGTTGGCCACGGCGCTGGTGTACTTTTCGACGAATTCCACCTTTTTGTCAAATATGCTTGGGTATGGCATGTGTTATGGGAGTTTTCTTATCCTGTCACCGACGGATTTTTTGACGGGGAGCCTGGTGCTGTGGGGGCTGTTTTTTTATGATGTTGTCATGGTGTTTTATACGTAAGTGCTTGCTGATCGGACCCCTTTGTTTGTTGAGTCAAGCTAACCGCCGACAGCCCTTATATGATCACCGTTGCCACAACCCTCGAGGTTCCTATCAAACTCACCTTCGAGGTCGCATCGCGCAAGAGCATCCTTGGTCTTGGAGACATTGTTATTCCTGGCATGGTCATCGCCTGGGCACTTCGTCTCGACCTCTGGCTACACTATGTTCGCAAAATCAAGTTTGAGCCAACTGACCTGACTATTGTCACAAAAGACGACTCCTCTGGAGAAATCGTCCGTCGTAGCGAAACCAAGCACAAAGAAGTCAAGGCTCGTTATGTCGACGTCAAGAACAAATGGGGTGAAGGTCTCTGGACTCGCGAGAACTTTTTCCTCTCAAGTCCATCAGAATTGCCGGTTGAGTTGGCAGGCGCTCGATTCCCCAAGACATACTTCTACGCTTCCATGGTAGGATACACGCTCGGCATGGCGGTAACGCTAACTATGCTGTTGGTTTTTAAGCATGGACAGCCGGCGCTATTGTATCTTGTTCCGGGTGTTTTGGGGTCGATGGTGATTACGGCCCTAGCCAGAGGGGAATGGAAGGATATGTGCAAGTATACGGAGGATGGGAGCCTGGATACCGTGGATGTGGTTGTTGATTTGGACGGGGAGGGGAATGCTATCACGACGATAGGGTTGTTGGAGGATGGCATCGTGGACACGACCAAGAACAAGAAGGAGGACGAGTGTGAGAAGAAGGTTGCGGAGGCAAGCTCGAAGGAGGGCGCAGCGAAAACTGGGCACAAGGTTTTTTTGCTGTCCATAGAAGCACCGCCGGAGGATGAGGAGGAGTGATGGTGGATTAGACGGCGTTTCGCAGTGTATTGATTGGGTTGGGAATAGACATATAATCATCTCGATATTGCGCCTTGTGTTTGAGGGTATACCTTGCATTTTGGATTATACTGTTGCAGGACGAGCAGTCGCCAAGGGATGGTGTGTGGCGTATCAAGACGAATATGCCAACTTGGGGACCGAGTGATGCATGCAATAGGAGCTCGCCCCAGATCCCATTCCAGATACTCACTCCAACGATGATGGCACTGTCACTCATCTCTAGCCCTGCATCTTAGCGCCGAGGCACCAGACGCAGGAAAGTCGTGCGTCTGACCTGAATAATGGCCGCCGTCGACATCTCTCTATTCAATGTCGGTCATTTGATGCCACTCAGCGGGCCTTGGAACGATGCTCAGCATTCGCATCATTTAGTTAGATGCCCTATAGCTGCCACCGTGGCGTTCTGAGTCGTGTTGTCGTCTCTTCTGTACGTCGCCTCGCTGGCCAACAGACTACAGTGCCTATCTCGCTCTCCGAATCATTTGCGAGACGATAAGTCAGCCCAGTTTTCGGCATTTCGTGTTGTCTCCAACACCCGTTTGAGAGGGTAGCTTGATGAGCGGTGCATTGAGGATACTACAGCGGGGGAAAGGCCACTTCTGACTACCATGATGGCAGGGATAACTGGGTTTTCGTAATTGCGTCGGCGGATTGACGTGTTGAATTGGCACAAGGGTGAACTCGCCACGACTCTCTGTGTGTCCTGGTGTATCGACGGATTGTACACTTGGCTGAATCGAAGGGTCGACTGGAAGACTGGTGGCTGAATGCAAAGCTGGGAATCATTTTTGTAGTTCAACATGCACCTGACTGGCCTTAACATGTACACGTGCCACATCACAAATGATAAGATTCAAGAGAGCTCCAGCTCTGTGGATAAGATTCGGCCATGAACAGTGCGTAATTTTGGAAGCATAGTTGCGAAATGTTGTTATACTATTAGCTGTTTGTTTTGTGCAAACTCGGGCATGGATCTAACACCATGTGTAAAACTGAGGCGAAACCAATGCTGCCTCGCGTTCATTCTTCTCATGTAACCGAACACATGGAATGTCGTCAAACCGTTCCTTAAAAATAACTTGAACGCCAGCTCCCAGTCGGTTGGCAAGCAAGCCTCCTGCTTCTGCGACTTGGGCTGTTGGTTCCCACATTACAACCTCTCTCAGACCGTGCGCGCATGCTTCTGCAACGGCCACATGGAGAATCTTTGCAATCGGTTCTTCCATGCCCCGAAGTCGAGCTGTGCCAATTTGACCGATAAAGAGCTTGCGTGAACGATAGTCGTGAACCCACCAAGCCCACGCCGTTATGCCTCTCATGTTTTGGTATAAAACTCCACTCATAGCCGTCTTCTCCTGGGACTTGGTAGATCCTAAATGCCGTCTCAATATCAATGATCTCACAAAATGCCATTTCAAAACATCACTTGTGCCCAAGACCTGTGCAAACGTTTTCTGGGTAACTCGAAGAGCCGAGAGCTGAAGCTTTGCTGTGTTGACTTCCTGAAGACAGAGCTCGGAGAGGTCTTCCGGTGAGAGTTGCCTCACTTCCTCATCGTCTGGCGGCTTTGCCACATATTTACTGCCATAGCTTATGCGTTGTTGGTGCGCGGTCTGAGGCTTCTAACCCAGTCTGTCGTATAGTTCGGTATTCACGCCGCTGTAAATAATGCTGAACCCTACGCGCTCCTTTTCCATGCCGTCCAGCGCCTCTTTCACCTTGGTCAGCAACCTGGTTGCCATCCCATTCCTTCTAAATTCTGAATGCGTAAATATGTCGGTGATTACGGCTGCCTTGACAGGCTCCATACCCCTTCCGCTGTTCACGATTGCCTCTCGCAGGTACACGCTGCAGCTAGACATGATGGTGTCCGGGTCAGATGGCTTGAACAGGACCCAATATTGCGTGGTTGCCACATTGTCAGCGCTTTTAGCTAGCTGATTCTGCATGTGCAGATACTGCGGAAGGGATAGCGGTGCTGCCCACATTTGGCTGGTGTTTTCGAAATGACGTGTTATCTGTTTTGGGGTTGCTCTGGCGCACACCAGATCTTCGCCGGCTGCATCAGTCGATGCTTCCGTAGCCATAATGCAAATCAAGCAACGATAGAACCTATGAGTCAGGAATATACGGAGAGCCTCGTTCACGATACGAATTTGCTTTGGAAGATCAGGTAAGAACCGGGTATGCTTCAGCAGTATTGTAGGAGATAAAATGGGAGAGAGCAAGCCTTCAACGACCAAGTGTGCGGGATCGGAGTTGGTTCGGTTCGTATATAGATTACCGGGAAGAATCAAGGCGACGAAAATACCCAGGTAGTTGCGTCGAGAAAACCAAACGGCCTAATTCTGGCAGGTGCATACCGTGATTTTCCATATTGCACATGGCATACCGCGTAGTGCAATTTGGCAAGTGCTTTGGAATCGACCGCCCCAGGTGGCAGTCTAAGTGAGTGCTCACTGCTCGCCTTGCTTCCGTCTACCACGCCTCGCAGTGGATGGATTCTTTCGGCTCGAGTGTTTCAACTACTACTAGCAGTGCCTGCCGTTTACCCGCCTGCCTGGGTGCCTGGTTGCCTGGGCCGGTATATGTTGTATGTACGTACGTACTTAAGTACTTACGTAGGTACCGTGGTTTGGAACCAGGCCCTTGCAAGATATCCTACGGCACTTGCGGTCCGTCAGGTACTTACCTAGGTACTTAAGAACCCAGTGCCTGCCTAATAGGTACTTACTTAAATACTGGCAAACATGTAGAATCCACCTCTGTCATTATTCCACAATGACATTGTCCAGGTACACACGCGAGTTCTTCCTTGATCAGACTCTGTTACAATATGTATACTCTCGTCCGCCTTAGCCGCAGTTTTTCGATATCAAAAGCGCCCGTCTTTCCTCATCTGGATACAAGTGCCGACCGAGCTCGGGGTCGGTGGGATTAACCTTAAGTGGTCTGTTTTCAGTTCCACGGCGACTTGGCAACGTTACTACTGCGAACGCCGAGGCTGGAGTATTACGGAGTGGCAAGGATGGAAACTATTGACCACACCAAAAAAAAAAGGACGGCAGCTGATCTCAGCCCATACAAGATGCTACCATTCGTCACCTCCACCAGGTACGTTTTCAGTGAACCAGACTGTTGGGAGGGACGCAAGCCCGCTAACACTTCTTCATGCACGACCCTGACCTTACAGGACCCGAATTCCCACCCTCTTCAACCCCGGCCAGAGTTGCACTTACAGGGTCTATGTACAAGGTTCATGTGAATATGTATGGGTAGTATAAATAATTAATTGCTGGTCAGTGTGCTTTCGATCAGATCTGTGGATCTGTTAACCGCCATCCCAAAGACCAGGTTGACAAGCAGCCTCTTCCTCACATGATGTGTCATTGCTCATTCGCCGTTGGCCGCCCGCATGGTTCCAGACGTGTCGCGTCGTACAACGCTAGCATTGTTCAGCATTGGCTCTCGGCTCTTTGGCAAATTCGAGAATACCATTATAAAACCGTTACTGCAAACACTCCTCCGCCTTCTACTCCGTACATGCTTGGGTCATACATGACACAACGTCATGCTGAGATGTCTCATACGCCTTGCACTTGACGAATCCTGGTAACCGTGCTGGCGGCAAGGTCCCTTCCGGAAGACGAAATCACATGAGGTGTCGAAATCATTTGGATACCGAGTTAAATAATCTGATAAAACAACAGTCACGGAGACCAAGGTCAGAAACCTGGCGTCTGCTCCCATTTCTCTCGTAAGGCTCGAAGCCAAACTTTCGGCTTTTTTACGTCAGCACACCAGGCGGCATGGTCTCATCGTCAAGATGGCGCTGTTCTTAGCAAGAGAAAAGTCTGCCCCAAGCCAACACCGCCCGATCTCACGCTGAGGTCGTAGGACTGCTTGTAGGTCTTCACCGCCCCAACACAATCCCCCTTTTCGCAAAGGACTTGGCAAGCAAAGCTGGGCATCTGTATGGAATTTTCACTCTTATCCGTGACGTGTTTCCTCCGAAAATTTGCGGCAACCCTGCTCATATCACATTTTCATCTGAAGATATTACAAAGACCTGGGATGGACCCACACACCATCTCGCCAATATTGCCCGCCGACAAAAGTACATACAACCTGCTGGGAGAGACCAAGTTTTTGCGCCTGAGGACCTTCATCTAAACTCTCGCGAAGCGAATGTTTAAGCCTGGAGACGGCCAGGGCCGCACGGTATATCTCAAATGGACGCTCGGCCAGTATGATACAGAGTGGTTATCTGAACAGGTTTGCGGCCAAGCATCACGACACATTCCCCCGTAAGGGCATTTTGCCGTAAAGATGATGAGTCAATAAAAAGCCTGACCAAAACTTCAGCCACCGGCCCCCCCTTTTCAACGGCATTACCAGGTCGAAGCGAAAACAAAATATTATACTACTACTTCTAGTACTACTAGTTTCTTGCAGCGCTAATATGTTTGCAGTCCCGTGGCCTGATAATCCGAACTACGTCATTCTACCAGTCTGTCCCAGTAACCGCTGCAAGTCAATATCATCACACAGTTACACCATCTTTGTTTCCCTCCTGTAATACGCCAAAGGGCCCGCGTTTCACCAGGCTATTCTCCTTTTCCCATTCTCCACGTTACGTGAGTTTGTATGTACCTCAAGCCCTAACCCAGTGGTTACACCACCAATGAGAGCGGCTGGTTGGTTGGGGGTTTTTTTTTTTTTGGTAGGAGTTTCCAATACTGGTTGGGGCTGTAATTAGGTTAGTATTAACATGCAACTCGGACCGCCTGCAAAGCACATTGTACTACATGTGTCTTACAAGACTGGACATTCAACCACTTGTCGATTAGTAAACAGAGTATCGGTTAAATGTAGCTACTGGGAAAGTGTCCCGATCGATAGCCAACTCTAGGCTCATGCAGATCTGAACGTAATACATCAATATTATAGTGAGTTGGTGGGTGGGCGGATTTACCAGTAAGGTTCCCAGCTGAACTACCCCATACGGACTCCCAAGAATTGTTCACTGCCGGCATGGTTTTAGTGGGCCAATATGTGTTAGACTTTCAGCGAGTGAGGACTGCATTCACCTGCGCCGGCGAAGGCACGTAGCCTATAGGTCATGTGGCACAGAAATGGAGTCGTTCAATTTAACCTTTTCCCAATCCCATCATGGCTTTGCCCATTTCCTTGATCTTTCCTATATTTCGAACAGCATGTGCTAGCACACTAACGCCCTCCAATCTATATACCTGTTACTCCGATTTTCCCATTGCGCCGTACCGTGTATTTGCTGTGCCAAAATTAAAATAGTATGTATGATGAGTCTGCAACCGTTAACTCTTAGCGTGAAAGACCCTTGCCCTGGGATATGATATCTCTAGCCCCTGACCAAGTCGGTAATTCAGCTCGACATGAAACATGCCTTCCCAAGCGAAGAAGGCTAAATTTGCGTGATCGGCCCAACTCCGATCCATCTGGCGGGGCCAAATATAGTTTCCAAAGAAAAAAAAAAAGGAGAAGGGGAACAGAGGGGAAACGAAGAGAAAAGGGGAAAAAAGACAGAAAAAAACTTCGGTCCAATTGTGTACAGCGGTTGGCAGAAGCCCAAAAGGGAAGATGATTGAAGCAGAGCCTGAGTTCGTTTGACGTTGGCGAGAAGGAACCGTCACGGCGCGTTCCGCGCCAAATACATTATAATCCATCGTCGTTGACCGGCTGCGAACCCTGACTGCAATGATGAAGACGAAGAATTTTGAGCCCAGTAAAGGAACTGGAGAATTGTGAGAAAGAAAACCCAGTATTATACCGTTTGCCTTGCCCAGAAGGCGACGTCTCGCCATCTTACACTCGCATTAATGCCATTCTAAAATCCGGTAGAAGTCGCGCGGCAACTTCACAAGTCAATATGCTATACTCACTCAGTGAGCATCACATGGCGTGCCACAATAGCCGCAATTCCTGCCAGGAATAACCCACACTTCCTTTCCCTTAAGAGCGCAAGTTGGGCATCTGGTACCAGGAATCTACCTCAATAGTTAGCCATATGCTTTCCCATACCATAGAAAATATTCTAGCCGCCAGTCCACACGAACCTGAGCTCCGTAGCTGATGATGTCATCAATATCAACAGGGTCTGGCGTAGCAGTGCGATTGATGATGACATTCCAGCCCAGGGAAATCGATGAAGGAGTGGACTCGTCACCGCGAAGGGGATTGCTATGCAGGACCATTTTGCGAAGCAGTTAAGGAATGGCAGCAAGAGCACACTTTGTATAAAGTCAACGGAGGTCGTGTGATAGGTTGGAACGATTAGGTCAGGATTGCACAATGTTGGTCAACAAAGTCGAGAAGGTCGAAGTGGGTTCGGAATATTGCGTTCTCTTGATAGTACCTCTGGTGGATGGATGAAGATTTTGGAAAAGGCGCGGTAACCGTGAATATTTATAGTTTTTTCAGGTCACGAATATGATATGAATGAAGAGAAAACAAGGTTGACGAGTGAGTAACAAGGTAGGGGTGTAAGTGAATAACTCCGATGCACAGTCGATGATCAGGGAACTGAGTAAAGCGGGAATGGGCGGAAACCACCATTCTGGTTACCGGGCTAAAGCTGTGTCAGTGCTGTGTGCTAATATGGACTTAGACTGGTTCTGACATCTGGTGATCGATAGGCGGACTGGTGCTGGACGGGAAAACCATGAGCAGACCTGTCATATCAAGTCTGAGACGCTGGAAGACGCTGCCACTGTTCGGCCATCGGGGGCGCTAGGGGCGTGTACGGGCCGGAAGAGAGTGGCATTGGTGGCACCTCTCGCCCTTGAAAAACATTTGCGGAGCAACATGGGCCGTCCTGGATGGAGAGACATGGGAGGGGCGTATCCTGGGGACGGAGGAGGAGTGTATTCTCGGTTGGTTTTCGGTTGGCTTGTCCGGGAGAAGGTGAGTCGTCTTCAATCTTGCAGGAGCCGTGAGCCCGACTACCGGATAAGCTAGCTGGGGCTAATGGGGATGTCTTGTTGGTTGTGGCGGACATGTCAGTGTCGATGTCCGTCAATTGGTTCATCGTGGACAGGATGTTCATCAT